ACAGGAGTGCTCTGGAGTCCTTGTTAGAAAGGGATTAAAATGCATTGACACAGTATCAACAGACTGCTCCATGGAACCAGAGGCAGTGTACCTATCTCTGAATGCCAAATGAGGGGTACAAAGAACAGGTTTAGGCTGGTGCCACTGTCTTGCCCGGCTTGTTGTGACCTTCCCAGAATGCATCTGCCCGGCTTCTATTGGACTGGGCAGGCCTTTGACCTGATCCAGCAGCGTGTATCTGATTCCTCTGATTCAGGGGTCCCCAATCTTTTTGAGCTTGTGGGCACATTTGGGATTCTGACACAGCGCGGTAGATGCAGGCACAAAATGGCTGCCACACGAGGTGGAGCCAGCCAGGAAAACGGCTGCTGCAGCTTACCTTTAGTCACACCATAAAGAAACTTGTGCCATGGTGGCAGTGGCTGTCCAAGCAATGTTTTTTTTTTAAACTCTGCACAGCCAATTAAATCTCCAGCGGCCAATGAGAAGCCTTGCTGGGCAAAAGCCCCACCTGGTAATGCCCGCCTTCTAAAAACATTTGGCAGGTGCCAGGCTACCAGGTTGGGGGACCAATTCCTACTGCCATTCTTTTTGTGTGTGTGTGTGTGTGTGTGTGTCTGCAAAAGGCCTTTCAACATCTTTCTCCTCCCACCCGAGGGGCCTTTGCAGAGGAAGTGACTTCCAGGAACAAGAGAGATCAGGGAGTACTGAGTCTGGCCCTCATTTGAAAAGTCTCCTTTAAAAAAAAAAAAAGGCCTTTCTTCCAACAGGAAAGAGGGAGTCTGAAAAAACAAGACCTGCCACTCGACGGTTCTCTCAGTCTAGTCCCCGTGGCTCCTCTTGCCAGCAATTGGAAAAAGCCATAATCAGACAGAGCCAGGCAGGGAAAACTGGAGACAGGGAGGAGGAGGCTTGCAGTGCAATCCTATGCAGAGTTACTCCAGACTGTGCCCACTGATCTCACTGGGCTTCGACTGAACTAATTCTGCATAGGATTGTACTGTTACTCTTCAGAAACTCTGCATACGTTCGGTTGCTCTCTTTTGCACCCGTACAGCGCAGGAGAGAACCATGGAAAGCTACATAATCCAAAAGAAGGTGGTTATATTAACGAAGTATATATCCCAACGATATTAAAGAGTGATCGGTTGCTCTCTTTTGCACCCGTACAGCACAGGAGAGAACCACGGAAAGCTACATAATCCAAAAGAAGAAGGTGGTTATATTAACCAAGTATATATCCCAACGATATTAAAGAGTGCAATCTCAACAGATCGCAAGTATGAATATACAACAGTCTACTATCTTGAAAGAAGTGCTTTATTGTTGGCACAGCACTTTATTCCTTCCTTTCTTTGAAGATTAGCGTCTTGGACTATTAAGCGTCTATGAGATTGCCTGTGGTTTCCATCACAGTGTGATTGGATTGTACAGTATGTGAATGTATAGTCATACTTATGATCTGTTGAGATTGCACTCTTTAATATTGTTGAAATATATACTTTGTTACTATAACCACAGGTTTTTTTTGGTTTGGAGTATATAGCTCTTTTGCACCCAGCCTGCATATGCCTGGGGGACCCAGTCCGAAACCAGGCCGTTTCGAGGAGGCTGAAGTTGGCTCCTTATTCACAGTTCCTTATTCGTGGATTCATCCAGAAACACTGAGAAGAGTTGGAAAGCTCTGAACCCCAAAAGGAGGTCTGGACCACCACATATCATATACCCCCAGCTTCACAGGACTCTCCCCTTCAAGAAGATATATCTTGTTTCCTGGTCCAAAGCCAGCTACTCCCAAGCGGGGTGCCCCGAGGACAATCACACAGGCAGACACTGGGGCCGGGCTGCACGCCCCCAAAATCTTTGGACCACCCCAACTCACACATCCCCATGCCCTGGAGACTGTCCCCTGCAAGGAGACATACAGCACTGCCCGGTCCAAACACTGGTTCTGGCACCACAAGCTTCCATTTGGAGTGCCGTTTCGAGGAACGTGAACTATCATGCATTGCGTGAGTATTGCTGGTTAGGATCGGGAACACTGTTTCCTGGCAGGGCTGCTTGGAGCTTGGGCCAGTCAGGAACTCAACAGGTTAAGTCTCTCTGCACCAGGGAATCACTTTGTTGGGAAAAACTGGATTGTTTCTGTTTATACCCGGCCCCGTTTTTCTCCCCAGAGGGTACCCAACGCAGCTTTCAGCATCATTCAGCCCTCCAGTGTTTTATCCTCACAACAACCCTGTGGGGTAGAGGCATATGACTGGCCTAAAGTCACCCACAAGTTTCCATGGCAGAGTGGGGATTTGGATGCCGCTTTCCCCACTCCGAGTGCTACATTGTGCTGGTGCTGCCTTGAGGTTGAAGCCTAATGGGGAAGCTTCCACATATATTTCTCCTTTTTTGCACAGGGAGAACCCACACTCTGTAAAAGAAAATGCTTTTCAAACAAGGACCTGGTAGAGTAGGGGATCCATTGCCCTGGAGGAGGGCCGCCCTGTGCAGTGCCTATTTGTAAACAAAAGAAAACCCACAAAAAGTCTTTAATGCCCTCTCCTCCAGAGGGAACCATCCCAGGTAGGTGCGGACTATGGAATGTCTCACCACTTGGGGAAAATACAGAGCTGGCGTTAGCAGGAGAGAAGGCTGCCGATATAGACCCCGCTTCGAGCCTTCAAAACACGGGGAGAAGTTGCACCCTCCTGCTTCTCAGCCAACCTGACCTGGCAAACCTAGTTCATGGGAGATCACAGGAGTGATCAGGGAAAGTTTTAAGGTGTGGCTGTTTGCACGGGTGATGGGAGTGAAGGATATATATAGGTCTCTATCTCCAGGTAGCAATAACCATCCCTTATTTGGAAGCTTGCAGGCAGGGATCAGGAGCCAGGGCTGTGCCCCTTCAGCGGGCCACGTTGTGCCGGCATCCTCTGAGAAACATTTCCAGCTCAAAGCCTCAAGGCAGACACCAGGAAAAATAAATAATTTTTTTAAAAAATCAGGATTATTCCAGGAATGTAGAGGAAACTCCCATTCTGCAGACGCTCTGGCTGTAGCTTGCATTCCAGTTCAGCTGCTCCAGTCTCTCTCCCCCCCCCCCTCGTTCCAGGAAACCAAGATGTGTTTTGCCAGTTTTTGGCTGTTATGCCTGTCACGAGGGACAACAGGCCACGTGCGGATCAGGCCAGTGCCTCCCAAGGGCTACTGGGTCATCTGCTGTGCAGGCATGTAGTGTGTGTATGTGTGTGTGTTTGGAGTGCAAAAGGAAAGGGAAACCAAGTCAAAAATGTCCCAGGAGGGAGAATACTGGCCAGATGTGCTTTGCCCTGCAGCTTGGGGACAGGGCCGCGATTCAGCCGCTGGCTACATGGTTGGCACGGTGGAGGTCCCTTGTTGGGTTCCTGGGCCCTTCGGCTTACAAAGAGGATCTCAGGGGGGATTTCGCACCTGGTCTTATGAGTGAGACGGCACACTTGTGTGGGTGACACAACTGAGCTGACTGGAAAGTACCTCTCCTAGTGCCCGACACAATGCATGCCAGAGCCCCGAGGGGAAGGGAGGGGTTCTGCAGTGAAGCTGGATTGGATTCTCTTTCGCTCTTCGGCTAACTGCTCTGGGCTTTTGGGGAGGCACTGCTATGTCAATCGATAAGTCCTGACTTATCTGCCTGGGTGCAAAGAGGGCATGTGATAGGGACCCCATCCTCACCTATAGCTGCTAAAAAAAAAACCCTTTCAGGTGCTTGCCAGAGTGGCGGCCTCACTTGCTGAAGGAGGGAATAACTGCAAGCAGGGGCAGCATGCCAACTGGTGTGTGTGTGTGTAAAGTGCCATCAAGTCGCAGCAGTCTAAAAAACTGTGAGCTAGCTCACACTAACTCAGCTTAGAGGGAACACTGGTCCTGACTTATCTGCCTGGGTGCAAAGAGGCCATGTGATAGGGACCCCATCCTCACCTATAGCTGCTAAAAAAAAGGTGCTTGCCAGAGTGGCGGCCTCACTTGCTGAAGGAGGGAATAACTGCAAGCAGGGGCAGCATGCCAACTGGTGTGTGTGTGTGTAAAGTGCCATCAAGTCGCAGCAGTCTTACAGAGAACTCGGCCAGGGGCTTTCAAGGCTGGTGAGAAGCCAAGGTGGCTCTTCCTGTGCAGAGTCGTCCCTTCGTGGTCTCCCTTTCAAGTACCCACCCTGCTTAGCTTCCAAAATCTAACGAGATCCGGCTATACCATGCCGCCTTCCCTCCCTTAGTTGGAGTACGACCTCCATGATAAATACGGATAATTTGCGCTTCTGTGTAATCACATTTGAGAGCAGGAAGGAGGACAGGAACGCCAGCAAAAGTGAGGTTTTTCTTTAATTCGGTGTGTTATCAATTCACTTTTTGTTTTGTTTTTAAACAGCAATTCCACAAAATATTAAACACTGTGCAAGAAATTGGTCTATGGCACACTGGAAATATGAAGAAATTACAAAATTAAAAAAAGGAGGAGAAACTAGAAAGAAAGATGATCAAGCCTACAATTACACACACAGATTTTTTTTGTTTGTTTTTAAACTTTCCTAAGATACAGTCTAAACAAACTTCGATTTGCTTTTGGCAACGATATCAGGATTTGGCAAACGAGAACAATAAACCAGAGAGAGAAAGAGAGTGGGGTAGAGAAATTAAAAGCACAAGATATCCAACATGAAGCTGGCAATGTCTTTTCTTAAAAATATGACATAAATGTGTGTGTGTGTGTGTGTGTGTGTGGTTCTGTTTTTACCTTGTTAAATAAAATAAAAAAGAGATCAATTCTTAATGTACTTGTTGAAACAGGGTTTTGGCAAAAGGAGAAAGAGCAGTCGGTGTCTGTGGAGGGAGGGAGGGAGGGAAATCCTGCATAAGGCCTGGATCTCCAAAGAGAGCCCTGCAGGTAACAAAGACGGGGAGCACAAGGAGCCTGGCTTGGCTTGGGGTGGGTCGGGAGGGGGGAGCCCCGGGGCAAACGAGAACAATAAACCAGAGAGAGAAAGAGAGTGGGGTAGAGAAATTAAAAGCACAAGATATCCAACATGAAGCTGGCAATGTCTTTTCTTAAAAATATGACATAAATGTGTGTGTGTGTGTGTGTGTGTGTGGTTCTGTTTTTACCTTGTTAAATAAAATAAAAAAGAGATCAATTCTTACTGTACTTGTTGAAACAGGGTTTTGGCAAAAGGAGAAAGAGCAGTCGGTGTCTGTGGAGGGAGGGAGGGAAATCCTGCATAAGGCCTGGATCTCCAAAGAGAGCCCTGCAGGTAACAAAGACGGGGAGCACAAGGAGCCTGGCTTGGCTTGGGGTGGGTGGAGAGGGGGGAGCCCCGGCCTTGGTTTGGCGTGCCAGAGCAGAGTTGGGGGGGGGCGCTCCTTGAGAAAGCAACAAGGCAGAGCAGAGGCATAGTTCATAGCTAAGCAAGTTGTTATGGCTGGATGCAGAAGGAGACAATAGGGGATCCTGTTACCTTTAACACTTGCGGAGCTTCTCTCCTGACCTGCCTGCCAAAAAGAAAATAATCTTCTCCGCGGTTATTAAAATCCCCCCTTTTTGCATCAGGTTGCTCTGTAAGCAAGGCCAAGCAGTCTTGTAGCAGAGAAAGAGAGAGAGAGAGAGATGCAACTGTTTTGGCTGCTGTCTGTCTGCAGGAATAAACCTCCAAGCCAATCCTGTGACTTTTAGAGGATAAAGTGCACGCCCCAATCTGAGTTACGAAAGCTGTGTGTGCAAAATGGCTCCCTCCGTCTTGATGAGAGAGGGGGAAGAGATTGGTCGGCCAGCTTCATCTTCTCTCTTTCTCTTTCTTCAGAAAGAGTTTGGAAGTTCCCAAGTGGGAGTGTGTCGGCATCCAGACTAAAAGGGCCCTCTGAAGACAGTGGGAGTCCAAGAACGCCAGGTGGGAGATCCCCCCCCCCAATCTCCCACACAGATATCTCGCTTTGCCTTTTCTACCTTACCCAGCACTTAAAAAGTCCAGAAAAGGGCTCTTAGTTCTCCGCACTGTTTTGGAGAGATGCACAAAGTACAAAGCTGCTACCGTTAAATCTGCACTTATATTGATGCTCTACAAAAAGGGGGGAAAGACACACACCTACAAATCACAGTCACCCAATGGATTCGTATAAGGAGAGTTCATTTAAAAAAGCGAGGGAGTCAAGGATTGGGGGCCCCTGCCTGGCTCCCCACCCTCTCCGCCCCCGAAGTCTCCAGCAGCCAAGGCCATCTCTTCCCGCTTCATTTCCTAGCCCTGCTGCCTCAACTCTGCCCATGATGTAGCCTGCTTTCCCTCTCGTAGTCTCTGGGATACATGGCCTGTCGCCCGACTGGTTCGCTGCAAGCGTGGGCTGCGGGAGGTCACAGCCTACGATCCTGCATGTCTGGTGGTCAGGAGAGTGCTCTGCTGCAAATCTGGCAAGCCACCCCCATGCCTGTGAAAGGGGGAGGGTCCGTGTCCCTTGACCCTGTCCCTTCTACCATCATTTCGCACAGCTCAGCCAAAGAAAGGCAACTCCAAAGAGCGCAGGTGATGGATCATTTGGTGTGCGTTCCCTTACAGTGCCCCCGTTTTTCAAAATCCTGGAAATGGGATTCCTCCTGTCTCATTATCCCCTCTTCGTATGGGGCACCCCACGCTCCTTCCCAGGCTATGTCTGGAAAACACCACCAAGAACCCCTCCTGCTCCCAAGAAGTGCAGTCCAGTCAATCTCGTTCTCCTCAGGCAGACTGAGGTTTGCCCGGCGCCAGCTGTAAGTCTGCTGTGCAAGCAAGCAAGAGGGGACGGGCGGGAGAACGGACCTCAGCCCTCTCGGCCTACCGAGGCAAGAGTCTGGGGACCTGGCTGAGGGGACTAGTGCGGCAGAGAGCCTGGGAAGAAACGGAAAGGAATGAAAAGACCCGGGGCCGACAAAAGGGGTTTCCGGCGGTCCCACTTTGGCAGCCCCCCCTCCAGCCCCGGGTGGCACCAGCACGGCACCCTTGAGGAAGCCAGCCTGGAGTTGAAGGGCCAGGGGGCTCTTTCCCTGGTAGCACCTTGCCTGGCAGAAGAGGGGTTAAGGCTGGCAGAAGACAAAGCCTCCTCTGGGGCAATGAGCACCTCACTTGGGAGGGGAGAACGCAGACCCTGACCGAGCCGCCTTCCTCCCCCCACCCCCCGGACAAGAGTGAAAACGGTCAATATTGGCTGGTTCCGATGACCTTGCTCTGGAGGAGGGATCGGGTGTGGATGCTGGCCGGCAATGCTCAGGTGTCTTCTAAAAGGCTGATAGCAGGAGGTGAGAGAGAGAGAGAGCGAGCAAGAGAGCCACTGAGAAGGGTCAGCACCTCTGGAGCAAAAGCAGCACTGACTGATCTCTCGGGAGGAGCAGCAGAGGGAGGCGATCCAAGATGGGTTTCGGGGAATTATTTTAGAGCACTGGCTGTTCTAGTCCAAGGGAGGCAAACCTCCTGGAGAGGCGACACAAGGGGGGGGGGGCCTCAAGAGCTGTCCAAAACAGCGAGTCGCCGATTGGCCCCCTGGGGACAGGTCTGAGTCAGGAGAGGACTGGAGGAGGCGGATTCTCTGGCACTTCCAGCTGAGGTGAGCCTTGCCCTTGCTCGCCAAACTTAGCCTTTGAGGGCTCGGTAGCGTGGACCCTGCACACGCCTGGAGATGGGCTTGAGGTGTTCCTATTTCCAACGACCCCTCCCTCACCTCTCGTGCCGCCATTAGGACATCAGGGTTGATGGCTCAGCTCATTCTGCTGGCTTAGCCTGGCCAAAGCAGGGACTGAGAAGCATCCTCTCAAGATGCCCGGCTACAGACATCAAATGGAGAACAGAGCCAAAGAGGGTCCGGGAAGGCAGGTGGAGGTTCTGCAGTCACCCTCCCTCCCTGCCCACGTGAGACCCGAAGCGGAACAGCACCCTTTGCTGACTGCACGCCACCTAGGACGTCACGTGAATTACTACAGGAGCGATCCCCCCCTTGACTTTTGCTCACTGGGGCCCTATCCCAGTTTGAAAATGTGCATTTGGTTAATGAGGAGGCCGGCTCAGGAGTCTCTCGACTCAGGGGGTCTGTCACCTGGCCACTAGCCGGAGCACCGATCTTAGGTGGGATGGTGAAAAAACGCGGGCTCGTCTTGCCGGTGCAGGGAAAAGACAGTGAAGGGAGGCCTGTTGCTCACAAGCTAGTGAGCAGCAAGGGGGGCCCCTGCAAACAAGGCCATCTGCGCCACCCCGAGATGGGCTGTGACGGGCTCCTCACATCCATAAACATAGAGGACCTTCAAAGCTGCTGGACTTCACCAGAGAGGTCAGGTTGCTTCCATTGTATAGGAGAGGACTGGCCAAGAATCTTCCCTTCTCTACCGCCCTCTTTTCTTCTCTAAGATCTGCTAGCGCATGCAGGTTTAGGTTATGCCTTTCCTTGGAAAGGAAAACTTCGAATTGCCGAATGCTGCATGAAAACGCACACTGCGGGCCTTCGGGATTCAGCTCCACACAGGTCGATGGGATGAAGGAAGGGCTTTTACGATGGGAGGGAGCTGCTAGGACAAGGGAGGAAAATTAAAATGGGGGGGGGGCCTCTGCGGGAGTGCATTGCCTGCACCATCCATTTGGCAGGGGAGAAGAGGGAAGGAAGCCAGCAGCGCTTTAGCGAGGGGCAGGAAAAAGGAGCGCCGAGTTCCCCAAGGGTGATTTGATGGCAAATGAAGGACCCTATTTCCTATCGCTTTTTGCTTCTTGAAACTGGATCCTCTCTCCCATGAGGATAATGGGTTTATCACAGAACAGGTCACTGGCCAATTCCCCCCCACACCGTTGCAAGGACGCAGCCTTTATCCCTGCTGCTTGCAGACACTGTACAGTCACAAGGTGCTTCCCAGCCATGCGGCACATCTGGGAACGGACAGAAAGTTTCATGATTTTCATACAACGACCCCCTTAGAATATGGCTCCTGCATACGTGCCCCATCTCCCTAAGTTTCCACCCCCCTCCCCGGGCACACATTCGGTATTCAGTCGTTTGGAAACATTCGTTTTATACAATAAAACGTACACGCGCACGCACGTGTGCCTGACTCTGGTCTCGTCCCTTAAGACGGGGGGGCCAGGTCAAAGCAAAATCAGTGGATGTGAATCCAGGCTTGGCCCCATCTTTCCAAACATTGGCGCTATAGTAAAGAACAGATGCCCCCTTCCCTCCCTGTAACCAGGACACCGCTTTGTTTTTAAAATGGGAACCCTTCCCGGGATCAGAGATGGACCTCGGATTTGCGAGCGCTTCTTAAATTTTGTTTTTAAGGAGAGGTTTCGTGGCCTGCCGGCTAAGCCTGAGAGCTCTCAGTCCTTACCCCTCTGCGCAGTACTGAAAATTTGCTTGACTCGGCTTTAGATCGGTGCAGGCCGGCGCCTTGCCTGAGAGAGAGACAGAGAGAGAGAGAGGGCGAACATGCAGGCGAGGGCCAAGCTATAGGATGGTGCACGGCTTCTTGTCCTTGAAGGGGTTCTCAGAGGCAGGAACGCCAACCAGCAGAGGGTCGTTCCTGGCTTGCTGCTCGCAATAATTCATTAACTCGGAGGATGCTTTGGAGACCTGAGCACAGAAGGGAGAGGGGGAGGGGGAAAAGAGTTAGATCAGGGGCCCCCCAACGTGGTGCCCCTGGATGACATGACACCAGCCAGCACCTTTCCTGGCACACGCCATCTGTTCTTAGAAAGTGGGCAGGGCCAGGCAGGGATTTCCCCCATCAAAGCTTGTGATTGGTCACTGGAGATTTAATTCTCTCTGCATGTTTTTAAAAACACTGTTTTGGCAGCAGCGGCCACCGCAGTACAGGGACCTTCACTATGTGACTGAAGGTAAGCGGCAGAAGCCATGTTGTGGCTGGTTTCACCTCCTGCAGCAGCCATTTCATGGCTGTGCCCGCCACGCCGTGTCAGAACTCTAAAGGTGCCCACAGGCTGGGGACCCCTAAATTAGATAAAATCAAAGGGAGTGGGGAGTTGCCAGAACTTGTTCTAAATGGCTTCTTTGTTTCCCCATCTCAAACAGGCGCTTCTTCAAGTCTTATTTATTTAACTGACTGATCGCAGGGGGGGAAAAGCAGAACCACAAGCTGAGAAAGGCACCGCGAGGAATAAGTGGTACAGAGGAAGGGAAGAACCCAATTTAAATATAATCACGGATTAGGATCCCTCCTCTCTCCTCCTCCACCTCTTCCTCCAGGAAGAGAGAGCCGCTGACTTGTGGCTCTGCCCTCGGCTGCTAAAAACGGGAGTCCCGGAAGCCACAGCAAAGCAGCCGGCTGGGAGAAATTACTTCAGGCTTGAGTTTTATTTTAGTTCAAAGGTCTATTCTGGGAACCAAGCCCTGCGGAGACAGGCTGAAACCAAGACGCAAGGGTGGGACGGAAGGTATGGGCACCAACTTCGGCAAATTACAAGACAACAGCGGGCTGGGCTGGTAACCGGCCCTGGAGACTGTGGTGCTAATGCAGGATACTTAATAGAAGGGTTGCCTGTCCTCAGATGTCCGGCCTGCAATTCCTCCTTCCAGGGTGTTCTCGTTCAGCCACAGAGGATGGCACTGGAGGGAGCGGAGATGCCACTGTGGGGCTTCAGTGGGCGGGATCTTCCTGGTTTAACATGCTCCGAATACACCTAAGAGACATGTTCTTACATTCACATGGGTTTAGGCCACTTGCTTTTAATGTTGGCGAGAGAGACAAACCTAGCCTGGCTATTGATATGAATTTAACTGTGGGTTTGTGGCCGTGGTGGCTCAGAGGGTTAAGACGCTGAGCTGCAGGCCGGAAGGTCTGTATCTCGGCAGTTCGAGACCCGAGTGTGCTGCGTGACGGAGTGAGCTCCCGTCCGTGGCCCCAGCTCCTGCCAACCTAGCAGTTCGAAAGCAAGAAACTGCAAGTAGATAAATAGGTACCGCTTCGGTGGGAAGGTAACAGCGTTCCGTGCACCTTGTTGTTTAGTCATGCTGGCCACATGACCACGGAAGCATCTTCGGACAGTGCTGGCTCTTCGGCTTGGAAACAGAGATGAGCACCGCAACCCTAGAGTCGGATTCGACTGGCTTTTGAGCAAGGGAAACCTTTTACCCTTACTTTGATATGTGAAAATCAGATGGTGACGCTTTGTTGTGGTATGGTGCCAAATATGATCATTTGTTGATGGCTGCCGATTGGCCAACTGTAAATGCCATAGCTGCAGGGGCTGGTTCAGAAGTTGGCAACCAGAGAATAACAGAGACACTCAAGAGCTTTCGGAGAACTGGATAAGGCTTGAGAGGTGCTTCATTCTGCAGGGGATGGGTGCACACCCATGGTTCTTTCGGGCCACACTGCCTCTAAAAGGTTTCTGAGACTGCACAAGCCCGGGTGCTCGTGGCAAAAATGAGTCGAGCATCTTCTTTCAAACCAGCTCTGGCTCTCTGAAAGAACCAGCATGGGGCTCCCTTCAGAAATGTTTCCCGTCTGCTCAGAGCAATGGCAGGAGATGTGTGATGAATCCTGCAATGCCCCATCAGTCAGCGGGTGAGCTTCATCCACTGAAAACCTTTCAATCAACTAAAACGACGCTTCCAATGAACTGCGCTACACAATTAATGAAACTGGTAGGTAGCAGCATACTCTATGAGAAGAAGCGTTTCCTCCTACGGAATGCTTCTTAGAAGGTGCTTGGGGGAAGAGGTGTTCCCTTCCCATGGAAAAGCATTCCCCGTGGTTTGCCCACATTCCTGCCACCCCCAGAAGAGCATTCTGCACTCCCTGCCCCCCAATAGTGGGGAATGCCTCTTCCGAAGGGAACGCCTGGCCTGATTTGGTGCGCTCCACTCAGTCGACTCTCCTCGTCGCCGATTCTCACCTTTATCCTCTCGATGCCAGCCTCAATGCGCAGCTGCTCAACCAGCTTCCTGGCCTGGGCTATGTTGTTAGTCGTAGACATTGTCTGCCATCGGTTCTAGGCCCAGCCAGCACCGAGAAACTCTGGAACAAAACCGGACAGCAAACTCAGGTTACTTTCACTCTCCCCACTGAGAAGGGGCTACTCTCCTACGTGGCGCGTCCTGGAAAGAGAACGTGCCTTAAAATCGAGCCCTCCTTATCCCAGCCAATGTTTTCCCTCCAGACTTAAGTGACTTTCTACTGTATTGCTTAAAAAAAACAACAACACAACAACCCTAGTTATACTCAACAAACAAGTGGATGGAGGAAAATACAAAACGAAGGGGGAAAGACAGCAAGAAAGAAAGGGGGGAAATAAGGGAGGGAGAAGAGAAGAAGAAAAGAGATTGGATTTATACCCCGCCCTTCACTTGGCGTCTCAGAGCGGCTTACAAACTCCTTTCCCTTCCCCTCCCCACAACAGACACCCTGTGAGGTGGGTGGGGCTGAGAGAGCTCTGATACAAACTGCTCTTTTTCAAGGACAGCTGTGCCAGAGCTTGTGACTGACCCAAGGTCACATCAG